GAGTGTTGTTCCATAGCAGCCTGGCAGGCCCAGATGAAAAATAATTATGGATGTAGTATTTGGAACATGGAATAAACCCCAATAAGATTCATAGAAAATCCACAAAGTGTTTAATTTGGTTGTACTGATGAAATAACAGCAAGCTTGGAGTACAAGGGTCTGACATTATTCAAAATAAAAAGAGAACTCTGGACCCCAACTTGTGATGGGTAAGAAGCAGGCTAAGAAAGCTATTCAGCTGCAAAATGTAGTGGCTTAAAAGAACAACTATTTTATCTCCTCAGTTCTGTAGGTCAGCAATTAAGACTGGGCTTAGCTGGGGCCACTCATGCAGTTGCAGGCGTCTGGAAGCTTGACTTGTGGCTGGTTGGACTAAAATAGCCTCTGTCTGTGTGTAGTTTGTATGCCGGCTGGTCTAGGGAGCTTCAGTCGGGATGGCTCATCTCTCCTTGTGGCTTTTCATTCAGTAAGGTAGACCTGGCTTCTTCCCATTGGCAGTCTTAAGGTAGCATTCTAAGAGTGAAGAGCAAAAACTTTAGGGTCCTTTGAGCCTTGGGCTCAGAGTTTATGCTCTGTCACTTTTGCCACTTCTGTTTTAGTCAAAGTAAGTTAAGGCCTGCCAAGATTCAAGGAGCAGGGAAATAAATTCCACTTCCTGATGGAAGGAGAAGCAAAGTCACATTGCAAAGAGGCATGAGTACCCAGATATGAGTAACTGTATTGTCATCTTTGCATCAATGTAATACACATGATACATAATTCTAGATTGAAAGTTATTTTCATTCAGAATTTTGAGGCATTGCTTCATTGTTGGCGCTGAGAAGATCTGTGGTATGGTGATTATTTACTTTGTGTATGTAACTTTTCTTTCCCCTCTCTCTGGAAGATTTGGAACCTTCTGGTTATTTGCAATATACTGAAATTTCCTGATGAGGTGCCTTGGTGTGAGTTCTTTTTTCACTCATCATGTTGACATTCCACTGGTATTTTCCACATAGAGATCCTGTTCTTTGATTTGTAGGCATGTTTTTGTATCATGTCTTGGATCATATCCTCTTCACATTTTTCTCTGCTTGCTCTTTCTGGAACTCCTATTATTTGGATGTTGGACCACTAAACATCCTCTAATTTTCATAACTTTTCCACTCTGTTAATCTCTGATTACTTTGTTATACTTTCTGAGAAATTTCTTCAACTATACGTTCCTTCTCTTTTACTGAATTTTTAATTTCAGCATTCACATTTTTAATTTTCAATAACTTTTTCTTGTTCTCTGATTTTTTAAAAGTTATCTTATTCTTGTTTCCAAGATTTTCCTGATATGATTAATTACATTTTATTTGAATTTTCCATTTCATTGTACTGTTTCTGTATTCTTTGAGGGATTTTTTTTCTCTTTCTTTCAGTTTTGTTCTTTTATAGTAGAAGCTATCCTCAAAGTTTTGTGGTTCTTGGCTGTTCATTTATATTAAAAACTGATTGGAAGCTCTAGGGTACAACAGGCACATTGCCTGGTGGGCTTCTCTATAGATAAACCAGTGGGAAATGGCTTTTTCCTTGAGCACCTGTAGGTCTTCTCTCAGGGGTAGTTCACTTTACCCAGAAAAGTTCTTAGCAGTATTGTCCTTGGCCAGAGCAAGAGGGCCCCCTGCCTTATGCTCCATGCTTCCAGGGCCTCACTCTGCCCACTCCTTCTAAAGGGCAAGGAGTCCATAGGACCAACAGTTCATGCCCACCTGGGACCCAAGCTGCTCTCTCTTTATATTGTTCTCCAAGCACCTGGGCCCACAGAATTTGCTGCCCAAATGACCCATATTTCCAAGGCCTAAGTGTCCCTTCTCTGGATGATCTTCCTAAGAGTGGACCCGCTGCACCCGAAGGCCTAAGAGGCCAAGGAGTGGCTGTTTGCGGGGGAGTATAGACGGAGTGAAAACAATGAGTTTCCAGCCACAGGTGGAAGATAAAAGACCAGGACAGGTCTTCGTGTAGCTTTTTATTTCAGAAAGTGAACAAAATGTGGTTTATTCTAAAAACTGCAAAAAGCAGGAACAGGAAAGGAGAGCAGCAAGAAAACCAGGCAAAAGTGGATTCATTGCAAAAATAGCAAAGCTTAGGTTCAGGGACTCTCCCTGGTTCAGACCTCCCCTAAGGCCCTTTCTTCTCTTAGGCAAGTAAAAGTTCATTTTTGTACCTAGTTTTTATTTTGTATTATTTTCCTCAACAATGATTTTAAAACTGCATAAGCTTCACAGCCACAAAACCTGG